CTGGCAAAGCTTCATAGACCAATCATTTCCAAAGGGGCGTCACCAACGGACGTAACTCAAATGCCTCTTGGAGCAATTGGATAGACTTAAAACCAATCAGAGCGATGAAGATGACGTATGCAGCGCGACGTTCATCTGTTATGGAACAACTTAGTTTGAATAAACGAGCAGACACTGATTAGCTACTTGCTCTACTTTTATTTAAAATTAACAGCAAGACAACTGGAAGTGAATGTGCTTTCCATTAAATAAATCACACACAGTAAACAAAACCTTAACAAAAAAAACTTTGCAATTTAGAAGCGCAAACTGGGTGCCGGTGCTGTGAGACGAACGGCTCGGGCAGATTCGGCTTGAAGTCGTTCATCCTCGGATACGGCGCCGCGCTCGCTGTTACAAAATACCCAATGCAAGCGAAATGGGGTCTTGCCGGTCTTGCGCACTGAACGCGTGATTTTTGCCCCGCGCACCTTCGCGCTCGTGCGGACGCGTCGAGTATAAACAAGGCTTTACTCCGCGCGCTCTGATCGGTAAAGGGGCACAGCACAGACCTCTCCCGAATCATCTCCAGCACCCAGCCTCCGATCGCACCACTAACTCCACCTCCGTTTCTCTCGTAAGCTGATATTAGTATTTAAACATTCTCTATGATAAACTTTTGTGAAAAAAATATTTTAATAACATGGTTTTGGCGGTTATAGAGTTCTAATGACGATGTTCAACTATAACCGTCACACATAGTTCCACAGCGGCATCCATCTTTGTAAATGTAAAAAATCTGCTTCACCGTCGCTGCGCTGTCGTCATCGTGTAAAGCCCGCCCCAACGTTTCCGATTGGTGCCGCGATTTCGACGGATTGGAAATGGACTTCAATGAGCTCTTTGCCAGGCCTACTTGCAGAGCAAATCTAAATTTGCCGGAAGTGGTCTGGGTTTTCCCAGGCAAGTAACCCCTCTACGTTTTGCACTTTGGACCAATGTAGTCAGGGTACATTTTTATATGAGACTGGGTTGCAATGTACCCTGAGTGTAAACCTTAGCCGCAAGCGATTTGCAAAGGTTATATAAAGGTTAATTCAATTTTACACTCACTTCTTCTAGAGGTGCAGCAGGACACGAATAGTTGGTACCGATTCCTTTTTCAGGAGCAGCTTCTTAGCAAAACCAGCTTTATACTGACCCTCGTTTATAAAGCAGTCTGCTGAGAAATGATCGCGCAAACATGAAAGCATTAATGTTGATTGTGGGGAATATTCCCTTCGAAAACAAAACTCAGCCACTGTGTCTTCAGCGGTTCGGATTTAGGAACATTAAAATGACTGCTGTGTTCGTTATTACACCCAAGAACAGAACACCACAATCGCTTAGACGCCATTCTGCTCCAGCGGATCAACAATGACGGACTATGATGACAGCTCACTCAGTGTGGGTCTGTGTTGAAACGCTGCTGTCAATCAACAATCGTGGGAGGGGCATCCGACCGTGTGACGTCACACGGTCGAACGGCTCGATTTGAGACGGGAAAACATATAAGGAGATTAAAACAAAAACAATCATTATATGATGTTTGTGTACAGGCACTGCCAACATACATTTCAGTACAATCAACTTGAAAAAGTGCATGTACCATTATATGACCCCTTTAATGCCTAATAATTTAAAATCCCAAAATTGTAAGGTAAATCTGTACCTTTTCCTTTAAATAATCCGATATATTATACATAATGATATTTTCTTTTCTTTTTTTTCAGCTGAAAAGACCAAAAGGGCCTTTCGGACTCAGTCAGCCTATTATTCTTGGAGGAGAAGTAAACAGAGGAGACGAAAAGCTACAAAGGCAAACATTTGCAAAGTAGAGTATATGTGTGTTGGTTTTAACCCTTAATCAAACATTTTATCAAGCATTTGTTGATTCTTAAACCTTTTCTTACAAAACTTTTTCTTACTGTTTGCAAGAGTGGAAAAGCTAATTTGACTTTACACATGACATTTGTCAACGTCGTGTTGTGGAACGATTTCCATTGACACTGGTATGATCTTCTGTGTAAACACTTTGGAAAGTTCAATTAAGTTGTTCTCTTCCAATCCACTCACTTCCAAGTAAGTGAGCACATAACTTTCCATTTTCCTTGAGGTCACGGTGCTTACCCTGGACATTCAACCGTTTTGCTAGTGCATTGGCAGAGCTGCCTTGGTCCATAAAGGCATACACTTATATGCACTTGTCACTCTTTTTGGACTTTATCTTGATAGGCATGACAAGAACACAGTTGTCGGCTCCGGTGCAGGCACTTGTCTCATGACTTATTGTGGTAGGTAACTTTCACCATTTCCTTCTCAGGAATCTTGTCTTGAGTGGTTAAGTGTAACATGCTAGGATGTTTCTTTGACCACAGCTGACATGTACTTCTTCTGTTACAAACTTTGCTTAAGTGTCCTTTCACTAAGCATCCAAAGCAAAATTCATTCTTAGAAAGTCTCATTTGTCTTTATATGGCTTCGCACCAAACTGATAACATTGCTCCAAGGTATGGCCTTTCTCACAGAATGTACAAGGTTTAGTGAAAGCACTGGTAACTCTATCTATATCTACTTATCTTGTATTCACAACTCGAAGTCCATAGTTCCTTTAACACTGTTAACTCTTCCAAGTAAAAAAAAAAAGAATACAATTCCTATGATAAAAATGTGAAAATATACATTTTGAAATATGTTTTTTACATTTCCGGCCCCTAATTGACAGACAGGCAGACAATTACCTTTTCAACAAAAAAACAAAAACAATGGAGCCATACTGATATAATTGTAACTATGCAACTTTTCCTTCAAGCAAGGGTGATTAAAAAAACTAACAATGTACTCACAAAAAAAAAATATATATATATATACACACACTCACCTAAAGGATTGTTAGGAACACCTGTTCAATTTCTCATTAATGCAATTATCTAATCAACCAATCACATGGCAGTTGCTTCAATGCATTTAGGGGTGTGGTCCTGGTCAAGGCAATCTCCTGAACTCCAAACTGAATGTCAGAATGGGAAAGAAAGGTAATTTAAGCAATGTTGAGCGTGGCATGGTTGTTGGTGCCAGACGGGCCGGTCTGAGTATTTCACAATCTGCTCAGTTACTGGGATTTTCACGCACAACCATTTCTAGGGTTTACAAAGAATGGTGTGAAAAGGGAAAAACATCCAGTATGTGGCAGTCCTGTGGGCGAAAATGCCTTGTTGATGCTAGAGGTCAGAGGAGAATGGGCCGACTGATTCAAGCTGATAGAAGAGCAACTTTGACTGAAATAACCACTCTTTACAACCAAGGTATGCAGCAAAGCATTTGTGAAGCCACAACACGCACAACCTTGAGGCGGATGGGCTACAACAGCAGAAGACCCCACCGGGTACCACTCATCTCCACTACAAATAGGAAAAAGAGGCTACAATTTGCAAGAGCTCCCCAAAATTGGACAGTTGAAGACTGGAAAAATGTTGCCTGGTCTGATGAGTCTCGATTTATGTTGAGACATCCAGATGGTAGAGTCGGAATTTGGCGTAAACAGAATGAGAACATGGATCCATCATGCCTTGTTACCACTGTGCAGGCTGGTGGTGGTGGTGTAATGGTGTGGGGGATGTTTTCTTGGCACACTTTAGGCCCCTTAGTGCCAATTGGGCATCGTTTAAATGCCACGGCCTACCTGAGCATTGTTTCTGACCATGTCCATCCCTTTATGGCCACCATGTACCCATCCTCTGATGGCTACTTCCAGCAGGATAATGCACCATGTCACAAAGCTCAAATCATTCCAAATTGGTTTATTGAACATGACAATGAGTTCACTGTACTAAAATGGCGCCCACAGTCACCAGATCTCAACCCAATAGAGCATCTTTGGGATGTGGTGGAACAGGAGCTTCGTGCCCTGGATGTGCATCCCACAAATCAAGATGCTATCCTATCAATTTGGGCCAACATTTCTAAAGAATGCTTTCAGCACCTTGTTGAATCAATGCCACGTAGAAATAAGGCAGTTCTGAAGGCGAAAGGGGGTCAAACACAGTATTAGTATGGTGTTCCTAATAATCCTTTAGGTGAGTGTATATATATATATATATATATATATATTGACAGAAACAAACCAGCCTGAGGGTGAGGGTGGGGGAACCGATTGCAAATGTTAGTTCCAGTCAAATATTTAAAGGTGCATTGCGCAACTTTTCATGTTAAAAATACCTGTTTTTCTATCCTATACATGATTAAAGAACTGCCTGATGGGCTGAATGAGCCCTTCTCTGCGCACTGAGATTGCCTCTATAATCCTGTACAGTAAAATATATAAGAGGGATTCGGGCTCGAATTTGAGACTGGGCGTGACGTCATGCGCGTTCACGCTCACCAGGCTATGTCTTGCAGGTTTGTGTATTCGCCGGCGATTCCATACTCCGCATCAGCGAAGACAACTCGTACGTCAAAGGTAAGATGGATTCAAAGAGACCGGCTTGTAGTCCATTCCAAACCCCAAGCAAACTCCACGTAAAGTAAAGAAAAGAAAATGTTTGTCTAGTGCCACCAAAAGGTCCAAATTGGAGTCAGACAGGCGTCGGAGTAAGACGAGAGTCAACCTCGGGAAGGCTTTCAACAAATGGAAAGATCTCCGGTCTGCTCTTGGTCTCAAACGAGATCCTCAGTTGGCTTTGTTCTTGATAAAACGGTAAGACATAGCCCAGTCTCTAATGTCTGATACGGCCAATCTATGTATGAAAACAAATGACGATGCGTAAAATGTGTAATGCTTTAGCATAAGCTAGATACATGTACATTTTGTACAGATACATGTTATTTTGTAAAAATAAAAAAACACACAAACAAATCTCATGAAGGAGCATGCCCTGAGAACCTGCAAACACAGGTCATCAACCTCCAAAACAGAAGTATTCTTTGAGATATGCGTTTTGTTATTGGGGGCTGGCAATGGTTAGGGTGGAGCACATGAACGTCTTTAAATGGCAGCGTGACCTTCTTTCCGGCCCCTTTGCTTGATGCCAGAACGCTAGTGATCACATCTCCAGCCTCTTAATCATAAATCTGTTAAACAATTCGTTTATAAAATGTCTACGGAGTTTGAACTTTGTCCTGGAAGAAAAATCGGGGGCTCCAACCCCTGTTTTATCATCGCTGAGATTGGACAGAACCATCAGGGAGACTTAGAAATCGCCAAACAAATGATCCGAATGGCCAAGGTAAAGTATAAAGTACTGCTTTATCAGATGTGAAGTGCAGCGGTTTTTTTTTACTGCAAAATGTGTTCTTTGTGAACCGGCCCAAACTTTGGATAGTTTAGTATCCTTGGTAATTTCACACCGGATTTTTTTTTTTTTCAAATTCAGGTCAATAATTAAGAGTGTACGTTTCTGTAATGGAGCTCCTGAGCTATAACTCACACATTGTATCACATTAAATTAACTTTTAGATTTCTTATATGGTGAAACTCATTTTTGTTGTCAACAAATCCACTTCTACTTCCTACTTTAACTTCACACAGGACTGTGGAGCTGATTGTGCCAAGTTTCAAAAGAGCGAGATCGAACACAGATTCACCAAGCTCGCTCTGGAGCGTGCCTATACGTCCCCTCACGCCTGGGGCCCGACCTACGGGGCCCATAAACACCATCTGGAGTTCAGTCACCAGCAGTACAGAGAGCTGCAACAGTTCGCCAATGAAGTTGGCATCTTCTTTACTGCATCAGGGATGGATGAGGTGAACACATGAAAGAGGGTCTCAATGTTTATTATATATATCAAGAGAATATACACATATTAAACCCAGTATACTGAAATGCATTTCATAACTTTTCCTCTCCCTACCCCAATCAGATGGCTGTAGAATTTCTTCATGAAATCAATGTGCCATTTTTTAAAGTTGCCTCAGCTGACACCAACAATATCCCTTACCTGGAGAAAACCGCCAAAAAAGGTAAAACTCACTGACGTTGACACCCATTTCAAATGAAAAGTCCAGAAGCTGTTGTTACATAATCTCAAAAGTGCTGTTGCTGAAAACTCGTTCTGCTTTGACGGAGGTTTGTCAGATTCACTGCCAAGGTCACAATGTTCCTCTATTTACAAAATTTCAGACAGTGAGTACACATGAGAAAAGTACAAGCCCAACCTATAACTGAATCTGAGAAGCTTCTTTTGTGCGCTTGAAGTCAGTTATTCTGGAGTGCCTGAGAAATTATGTATTGACAGTGCTGATTGGCCAGAGAGCAGAGCCAATGAAACCTAGAAATCCTGGTGTGGATTTTCTGGAGTTTCATGTTGCTGGCTTTGAGTCTACATATAATTTGTCATGTGTGTAATGTGATAATGACTAAAACTTTGACCTGATTTTCTCCCAGAAGCAGCCATGTCTTGAAGCTGATGTTTTGGTGTATTTGTGTAGGTCGTCCCATGGTGATTTCTAGTGGGATGCAGTCTATGGAGACCATGCGCTGTGTTTACCAAACCGTAAAGAAGCACAATCCCAATTTCACGTTCCTGCAGTGTACAAGCGCTTATCCGCTGCCATTAGAGCACGTCAACCTCAGCCTGATCCCTGTAAGACACAAATCACTTATTCTCATCTTCATAAATTACTGAAGAAAATATTCATTAACCAAGGGTTTTTTGATTTTACCATGGATTGAAGACAAGACATACTGTATGTGCATGATGACGATTCATTCAATTATTTAATTTTTAACATTGAGTTGACTAAATTGTTTGTTTTATTATTTAAAGACATCCAGTTGTCACAACGATGTTCAACAATTTTGATTATCTGAATTCACATAAAAAGTGGTTGAATATTTATTTTCATTTAGCTAAAAATTTATTGTTCATTGTTATATTATTTAAGCATGAGGTTTTCACACCAAGGACAATTTTCACAGTTTGTTGTATCTGGCAAATTTCTAAATCCTATATTAATATTAAAAATGATTGAATATTTGGTTACATTTTGCACAAATTAAGTGTTCATTGCAGGGTTATTATCGTTAATTAAACTAAAACCATAAAAAACATTTAAGACTTTAATGAAAAAGACATTTTCATTACTTGAAATAAAATAAACTAACTGAAATGAAAACTTAAACCATTTCAGCTATTTGCTAAGGCAATTTTTAGTTTAGTTTGTAACTGAAGTATAAAATAACTAAAACTAAACAAATACTAAAACTACATATTTAGAAAAAAAAACTTGTAATAGTAAAAATGACAAAAACAGCAAAACTACTAACACTAACTTAAATTGAAATGAAAACAGAAAATATATTTTTTTTAAAACGTCTCTGGTTACTTGCGTAACCTATGTTCTCTGAATAGGGAACGAGACGCTGCGGAAAGCGCAGTGGGATATTCTCTGAATGTGCCGATTGTCTGAAGCCTTATAGAATCACGCCAATTCATTGGCTGATGGCGTCCGCGCGATATGGCTCCGCCCCGACGCTCTTACGTTGCATCATTACATATTCGCGCGCGCGCCATCTACTCCTCAGATTTCTCTGCCGAAAAGAAACTGTCAGCAGCGCGAGGAGCTTGGCCGCTAACGCAGCGTCTCGTTCCCTATTCAGAGAACATAGGTTACGCAAGTAACCAGAGACGTTCTCTTTCATAGGTTCACTCAACGCTGCGGAAAGCGCAGTGGGAACGGACTACCAAACTCGCCAAGCTAGAGCGCTTTTATAACTGGTAGATAAAAGAGACAACGACCGAAATGAGTTCAAACAGAAAGAACCTGGGAACCCGGGGTCATGTCAAGATCCAAGCTATAGAACCTTACAAAAGTGTGCGGAGAGGACCAGCCTGCCGCAACACAAATATCCTCCAAAAGTGCTCCTCTGAAAAGAGCTTGAGAAGATGCTACACTTCTGGTGGAATGTGCTTTAATGCTAAGAGGTGAAGGCAAGCCACGCACCCCGTAAGCCAACGAGATAGCCTCTGTGACCCAGTGAGAAATCCTCTGCTTTGATGCAGCAAGCCCACGGCGGCTAGCACCGAAGCAAACCAGAAGCTGGTTAGATTTCCTCCAACCGCCTGAGCGGTCTACATATATCTTAAGAGAACGAACTGGGCAGAGCAAGTTAAGCTTCCTATCTTCCTCAGACGAAAATGGAGGAGGGTGGAAAGCGTTAAGGTTAACTACCTGTGAGCAGAAAAGTTGAGGAAAGAACCTTGGGGACATACCCTGGTCTCGGCCTCAAGGAAACTTTGACCAGGCCAGGGGCAAAGTCCAAGCAAGACTCGCTAACAGAAAGAGCTTGTAAGTCTCCCACCCGCTTTAATGAGGACAAAGCTAACAAAAGAGAAACCTTGAGAGTCAGAATCCTCTCCGGAGCTGACTCCAAGGGCTCAAAGGGGGCTTTCGTCAAACCCTCTAGGACAACAGAAAGATCCCATGAGGGAACTCTAGGGGAGCGAGCCGGTTTCAGGCGCTTCACCCCATGCATGAAGGCAGAAACTAACCTTAATTTGCCCAGGGGAATCTCATCCGATTCCCTATGCGCTGCAATAGCCGCGACATAAACTCTGAGAGTGGTAGCGGCTGCTCCAGCAGCAAACTTCTCCTGCAGGAATTCCAGTACTGAACCAGCAGGGCAGTTAACTGGGCTCCTATCATGTGCTAAGCACCAAGTCTCAAACACCCTCCATTTGGAAGAATATAATCTCCTTGTAGAAGGGGCTCTAGCACTCGCAATGGTCTCCTGAACGTCAGTTGGGAGTGTCAACTGGAGGCGCTTGTGAGGCCGTTGACGGGGAAACGGGCGAGGTGGGGGATGCCCCGGTTCGCTTCTTCTGGAAGAGAACTCCGGTCTATGAGAGGGACGTTCTTCGGGGGAGCAGGGGGGGGGGGGGGGGGGGGGAGCAGAAGGTTCCCTAGCCCTCCTGGGCATGAACTGTCTGAACGCAGCCGATTGGGATTTGGAGGAGCGGAATTTCTCAACCACTGTGTTGACCGCCTCACCAAACAACCCCGTTTGAGAAATGGGGGCGTCCAAGAGGAAAACCTTCTCTTTGTCACGGATCTCCGTGAGATTAAGCCACAAGTGGCGCTCCACCGCAACAGAACCAGCCATAGAGCGACCTATAGCGCGTGCGGTATGCTTGGTGGCTCTTAAGGCTAAATCCGTAGCCTTACGAAGCTCCTTGACCGCTTCAGGAGTCACGCCGTCGCCCTCGTCCATTTCCTTCAGGACGTCCGCCTGGTAGGCCTGAAGAATGGCCATAGTGTGCAGGGTCATGCCTGCCTGCCCAGCCGCCATGTAGGATTTCCCAATGAGAGAGGAAGTAGTCCTACATGCTTTAGAAGGGAGGAGGGGGCGCGACTTCCAGGACGGCGCAGACAACGGAGCAAGATGGTCGGCTAAAGTTTCCTCAATCGCCGGAATAGCCCTGTTCCACAGAGCCTACCAGGTTGGTAAAATCAGCAGCAGCCGCATTAGTGAGGCGCAAAGAGAAAGGCTGCTTCCAGGATCTGGAGATCTCATGATGCAGATCACTGAAAAATGGCAGCTTCCTCCGTTTAGGCCTAGAATTAGGGCCACTGAGAAGCCTTTCGTCAAGTTTCGACGACTGAGACTCACGTGGCTCGTCGGGCCAATCAATAGTGAGCTTCTCCGTAGCGCGCGAAAGCACGTCAACGAGCTCAGCGTAGGCCGCAGTAGGCCACGCTTCCTGGCCGCTCGGCGGGATAACCTCGTCGGCGAGAGTAGGCCCGAAATCCTCGGAGTCGGAAGCCTCGGTAAACAGTATATCCTCCAGCCCGAAAGAAACCGCGTCGCGTGCTCCCGGGCTGGGGCGCAAATAATCGTGTGAAAATTCGACTGGCATGCCTCGCGCGTGCCGAGGGGAGGGAGGGAGAGAAAGAGCGGGGCTCGTCTGCTCGAACTCCACATCCTCAAGCTCTACATCCGAACCCCATGTCGCGGATCCTCGAGAGGCCTCGGGAGCGCGACAGGGGGAGACGAATGATTCCCTCTCAAAGGCCGCGAGCCGCGATTTGAGGGTTTTGAGCAACACATTTTCACAGAATTTGCATTTAGACGATCCTATAACTGCCTCACGTGCATGTGAAAAACCCAAACACTTAACGCACTTACTGTGTGGGTCGTCGTTAGCAATGTAACAAGCACATGGCGGAGTACAGCGTCTGTAATCCATGGCAACTTCACCGTAAGGAGAAACAGAGTTCCGCTTGAACAGTCGCAGAAGCGCCGAGAATAATCCTTAGATGTAGCTCAGAAAAATCACGAGCGAAGGGCAACGTGACCGCTTCGTTCTGAAGGTAGAGAAATCTGAGGAGCAGATGGCGCGCGCGCGAATATGTAATGATGCGACGTAAGAGCGTCGGGGCGGAGCCATATCGCGCGGACGCCATCAGCCAATGAATTGGCGTGATTCTATAAGGCTTCAGACAATCGGCACATTCAGAGAATATCCCACTGGGCTTTCCGCAGCGTCGAGTGAACCTATGAAAGAGAACTAATTTAAAAATCTTAACAAAAACCAGAATAGTATATCACTGATATTAAACAATACTGGTTCATTCATTGTTATATTTTAATTTAGCAAAAATATTTTTTTTTTATTGTAATATTATGTCAGGACATTTTTGTTCAATTTTTATATGATAGAATCATATATAAAGTGTTTGAACATTTGGTTAATTTTGCATTTCTCATCTAAATTGTTATTGTGATATAATAAAGTTAGATGCCATTTCAGTCAGAGAATTATTGACTGAAATGAATTTATATGATACATTGACTAAATTTAGAGGATATTTTCATCAAATGAAAAAACCCCCCAAAAAACACTGTTCTGGAGTTTACACTCTTTCTACATTAAGATTTTTAGTGAGTAGTGTGAAGTCCGTCTGTTACCCTTTTCCTACACAGGAGTTCCAGAAGGAGTTTCCGGACATTCCCATCGGCTACTCCGGACACGAGGCGGGCATCCATGTGTCTGTGGCCGCTGTGGCACTCGGGGCAAAGGTCCTGGAGCGTCATGTGTCCCTGGATAAGAGCTGGAAAGGCAGTGACCACGCAGCATCACTGGAGCCGGCGGAGCTGGCGGAGCTGGTGAAAGCCATCAGGACGGTTGAGATGGCGATGGGTTCTCCGGTCAAACAGATGCTGCCCTGTGAAGCCTCCTGTCACAGCAAGGTCAGATAAAACGCTCATTCTGACAGATTATAAAACCAAAAAATGATCAAACGTCATTCAATCAGTGGTTATGTTCTTTCTTGCAGTTGGGTAAGTCAGTGGTGGCCCGGAAACGATTGAAGAAGGGTGAGACATTAACTCTCGACATGCTGACAGTAAAAGTGGCCGAACCGCACGGCATGAGACCAGAGAACATCTTCAAACTGGTTGGCAAGAAAATTACTGTGGACCTGGAGGAAGATGCCACCATTACTGATGCCATGATAAAAGGCTGATGATCAGACATTCCAAAACTAAAGGGGCAATGTGGGGGTCTTATCTTACGCTTCTATTAAAGGGGTGATTGACTTTTCTAACTTTAGTGAGTGTGTAATGTTGCTGTTTGAGCATAAGCAACATCTGCAAAGTTACAATGCTCAAAGTTCAAAGCAAAGGGAGATATTTTCTTTTACAACAAACGGCTGGTATAGGACTACGTGACATTCCTCCCGGGTTAGTGACATCACAAACCCTAAAATTTGCATAAACCCTGCCCCCTGGAACGTGATTTATAGATTATCATGACAGAAAATGCTAATCAATGACTAGAAGATAACTACACATAACCTTCAAAAATTCATCAACTAACCATTCAGAAATGTCCAGTTGCATTCTACATGTTGTCACTTCTTCTTGAGTCTCTCCATCTTTGTCTGGCTCCGGTTTGAACATAAAAGGTTAAAAGTTTTTGAAATTTTCAGTGCATGTCTGTGTGAGGTAAAAGGACACAAGCTGTTGAACAGCAGCTCATTTGCATTTAAAGGGACAGACACAAAAACGGTGCATTTTTGTTCATCCTCAAAAAGTGACAATTTTAACATGCTATATAAAAATATCTGTGGGGTATTTTGAGCTTAAACTTAACATACACACTCTGGGGACATCAAATACCGTAATTCCTCAAATAAAGACCGGTATTCAAATAAACGCCGGGCCTCTGATAGTGGCCGGGGGCGTGGTCAACGCGGACAAATAAAGGCCGGTCTCAAATTAAGGCCGGGGAAAAATTAGTGTACACTCAAAAACGGACTCGCTCAGCGGTTGTCATATCACAACTATTCAGTGTTTTTAACCACATGTTTATTTTAGGTTTCAGACATTTAAATAGATATGATTTATAGCAAAACAATACATTTATAGTTTGTAAAATACACAATGGTGTCTATGGAAGCAGCAATAACAATCCATTGAAATATATTTGGCGACGTGTTTTATTCATATCAGATACATAGCGTAAGTAACTATAAAGTTTACTCTATTCTTCTCCCAGTTCACCGGCCACTTACTTTCATGTATTTCGGGAGAAACTGAAAAATTCATGCGCTGTAACGTAACAAATCCAACAGACAGGAATCTCTGAACTGCGGTGCCCATCTCACGTTACAGATCAAGATAATTTATAAAGGGTTTTAAACGACAAAACAAACTCACTTACACGGATTTGAGAGTCAGAATAGAAGATAGTTGATGACATGGTAAGCAAGTTTGTTAATATTTAGAAATAAAAGCGCTACATCTGTCATACAGCGCTATTTTGGCTGTGGTGAACACGTGCCAAGCATGACGCGTCACCATGGAAACTTGGCTGGCGGGCGGGCGCGGATCGCGAATAGCTTGTTTTCATATGACGTCACGCCACTGCGTTGCCATGGCGCGAAATGCAAATGGAGGGCAGGAAGTGATTTGCTGTATTTAGAAAGCACTATAACAAACTCAAAATCCCTATATTTTGCGTCGTTTGTGGTTACTTAATTCGATCAAACCACGAGGAGTTTTTATCGTGTACCAAAAGTTGTTGTTCATAAGGGGGGAAAATGCAAGAAACTGACCGAAAAACTCCGGGAAAACGGCTAGCAAACCTACGTCTGCGGTCGGGAGGAGCCGAATGGGAAAATGCCCGTGTGTGCAGTGATCACTTCGTCAAATGGGGAGTTAATACAACTTAAGTGGCTATGTTTGTGTAACGTGTAACGTTTCCGAACTTTGTAAAGTCAAAGAATGTCTGTAAGACGAGGTAGTTGCTGATATCTACCGCCTCGATGGCAGGAAAATCTTTCAATTTAGTTGAAAAATCGCTCCTCTTCATAACGTAAGGATCACGTCCAACACATGTTTGATTTTTTGTTTATATCTTTCTCTTGTAATAGTGTGTAAAGTAGTACAGTACGGACTTTCCTCCATCTCGTCCATTGCGCTCTTCACTCCCTGCCCTCCATCTGAATTTCGCGCGTCATCATAATCACGTGACTGAAACCCAGCTATTAGAAATAAAGGCCTGCCTCTAATAAAAGCCTGCTTCAAATAAAAGCCGGCTACCATCTGCAGTTCAGGTAAATAAAGGCCCTGGTCTTTATTTGAGGAATTACGGTACGTATTTTACATCTGGTTAAAAGGGCATTATACCACCCCTTTAATTTTAATAATGATATAGAAAATCAGCCATTATTAAATTACATTTTTAATGAGGGAGACATTTTTATTACATTCTTATTATTTTGATATCAGAAATATGTAAATATGACGTCTTGTCTTGATTTTGCATATGCCTAATGTCTTGCTATAAGTTTGCTCCATGTTGTAACCTGTCTCACAGATGATTGTCTTTGAAATTGTGGTGAATGAACACTTTAAGTAAATATCTTTCTTTCAACTAAACTTTTGACTCCTGGGTCTTTGTTCATATTGGTCTATCTGTGTTGCCCAAAAGCAAGATGTTTTGGCCTAGAATTAATTCAAACCACAGAGAATGCCTTAATGAAATGTAGAACTATTATTTAATGTGTAAATACGTGTTTATTGTGTATTATAGAAACGACGACAACTCTTTAAGACACAATGTTATTTGTTTTACACAAAATAAATATGAAAGTGAAATGCAAAAGCACCTATATTGGCAATATTTTGGATTTAAACCAAATGCGAATTGGATGCAAACATGAATAAGATTGAAAACTTTGCCTGATGAAGGTGACAGCAATTTAATTTACACACACACACACGCACCTACAAGCACACCACATGAATGAGGCTGCCATGCTTATTGTTGTGTTAAAGGTTTAGTTCACCCCAAAATGAAAATTCTGTCAGTAATTACTCACCCTCATGTTGTTCCAACCCCGTAAGACTTTCGTTCATCTTCGGAACACAAATTAAGATATTTTTGATTAAATCTGAGAGCTGTCTCACTCCTCCATAGGCTTCTAAGGGATGGAAACTTGCCAGCCCAGAAAAGTTATTAAAGACATCGTTAAAATAATCCAAGTGACTACAGTGGCTCAATCTTAAGTTTATCAAGCGACGAGAATACTTTTTGTGCACAAAAAACAAACAAAAATAATGACTTTATTCAACTATTCATTTCCTTCTCGGTGGGCCTCGAGTTAGTTCACGTTGTAAGGGGTATACAGTCAAAGACCCAGAACCAGATATGAAGAATGAAGACCCGGAGTCAGAATTATAAAAAATTAAAGAAAAGTTTTACTGAAGATAGTTTGCATTTTCATCAGCAGAAGTCAGCTTCAAGACTCACACAGGAGTTCGTAGGCCGCCCCGCTTTCAGTTACAAAGATCACAGCAGTTATACCATTTCCAAGGTCTAAGCTACGTCATTGCTTACAGGTTGAATGATTCTCATTGGCTAAGAAACATTAAGAGCCTAAACAATTTAACACATGTGAGGAGATAGGGGTGCCTATCGCCATTAGTAAAGATAGTTGTCGTCCACTCATTGGATTTAGGTCTGTGGTGGCCTCGCAGGTTAGAGAAGGGCGCCGGGGTGTCTGGTCCGACCGTCCAGAACCTACATAGAATGTCATACACACACACACACAAATAACAGACACTAGCAAATAACAGCTCCCATCAAGGCTGAAGAGAGTCTGAGCTCCTTATTATCAGTTAAGTATACCAAAACATACTGCTAAAACATTCACTCGTTTGGGAGAAAAACAGATCACTGGCATTTACTCCAAAGGAAGGAAATATACTGGAAAGAATACATTTTAATACAACAATTAAAGTTTGATAGTAACGCTCAATATAGCTTGACCATATGTCCAGCGAAGAACCATATGTGCCCACGCTGCCTTTAGGACCCTCTAACCTTTCTACTGATCCCAGAGAAAGAGACAAACGGCCATGTGGGTTACGTGGCCTTCGTGTCCTGCGTGTACTACGTGCAATCTCAAAGTAAGATTGGAATGCACCTAAAAGAAACTGGTTACTTGCATCCATGCATTTAAGAAAATATAATTTCACAAGCACAAGAATATAAAAATTATTATGTGATAATGAATATATTTGATTATTGATTTTTATAAAGGAAGTATATAACCATTCAAAATGATATATGATTATATATGTATTTGAAGAGGCAAGGGATTTTGACCAACCCTTCAGTCCCCCGTTTTAGACCAATGTGGGGTCCAATACCGCCACGTCTGGTCTAACCAGTGAGGTCACTACGGAAGGGAGGAGTGGTGACGCATGCTCCCCTGACGGGTCACACTTGTCTCTTCACCTCGTCACGGACATGCTGGATACTAAAAATTCCAGTCCCCATTAAGAGGCTCTCCCACCTTCCACTCACAACAGGACATCAATGTCATTCTTCCTCCGTTTATCAGTCAGGTTAAAATTTTATAAAACACATAACTGATTACGAAACAAGTACATATTTATTCTTTGGAAGCCAGGCTAAATAAGCAAGCACTATTGCTGTATTCCTAGCATGGGCTAGATCCACAGTCACTACTCAGATCCTAAATAAAGACATTGTCTATAATCATGAATACCAGAATATATGCACTAGTTTTTTTATTTTTTTATAAAATTATGATTTCCAAATCCTTTTATTATAAACAAAGTTGGATGGTTAATCCATTATTTTCACTACCCCTTTTATAGACCCTTTAGGTTTAAAACACAATGGTTGTCTAACTAAAAATAAACAACAAACAATAGAATATTAATAATTAAGGCCCATAATAATCGATGTAAACACTTTAAGTCTTTACTGAAATCATCCTTCAGTTTACGGTCACATAGCATGTACCATTTTAATTGTATAACATCTTATACCCTTTTTTGTTTGTTTCAAAAATAGAAATAAAATAAAACAAATTCACATCATCATTTCAGTCATTATTTTACCACTAAAATATAGGATCGTTCCCCATTTTGCTTAATAAAGCTTTTGTTCATTCCTTATCCTTATATCACTTGAATCCCTGTCAATCATACAATGTCTAACCCTAACCTTTTGCATACCATTTAAACTCAATTTGACTTCCATAAACCCTAT